GCAGCGTCCGCCGCCGCCAGCGCCCCCCGTCGCGGCCGCCGAGCGTCCCTCCCGCAGGCTGTGGCGGGCGGCGGGACGGGTTGCATCAGCCCCGGCTATATAGCGGCCCCTGGGCGGCGGGGAGGGGTCGGGAATGCGGAACCCGCCGAGCTGCCAGCTCCAGACGTCAGAGGGGGACGGAGAGGAAGGGAAGGAGGGGACAGGGAGGAGGGGGTGTGGATCCGGCGCCTCACACCCACTGACCTTCACCTCCCCCGCCGCCCCGGGCGCCCTCCTCCCGCCGCTCCTCGCGCTCCTCTCCCCGCGGGGGCAGCGGCGGCCCGGGCTCCCGCGCGTCCCCCGGCGCCCACCCCGCGGGGAAGCAGGACGCGGCGGGCGGTTATGTAAGAGCATCCCCGTGCACAGCCGCTTCCACCCCGCGACCCACGCCGCCGCTCGGGAGAGGGAAGCGAGAAGGCGCCGCGGCGGGACCGGCCCCCAAGCTCCTGGAGGCACCCGCAGCCTGCGTGGAACCATCTTCCTCGGTCCTCAGCGCTTTTCCCCAGACCCACGGGGGGTTTCAGCACGTTTTCATCCTTGGACACTGCACGACTGGGGGCGTGAGGGAAGGATCTCGCGAGCCGCTTTTATTTTGCGGTGAAGGATGGGCAGAGGATCGTCCCCACCTACTAGCCCACCGGGCCACCACCGCAGGCGCCCTTCGCCCGCCCCCCCCCGCCCCGCGTGGCTCGCTGCGGGAGGCTGCCCTCCTCTGGGGCTGAGAGCCCACCGCTTTCTCTGGGGCTGCACCGGCTGACCCCTGGGCTTTCCGGCCCACTCCAGCGGGCTTCTTTCGGCTCAGGGCCACTCCCGTGAGCAGACCCAGCCCTCTGCCGACCCCAGATGGCCTCTCCCCCATAACGACTTCCACTACCAACTTACTCCCACCTTTCATCCTCCTAGAGTGGTAGATGGTTAATGGCGACTCCAGAGGAAATGCGTCCTCCACGGTGCCCTCCAGTATGTAAAGGCACAGAGACACAGAGCCCTCGTGCGCACGTGTGGCTCCTGAGGCCTTGGCACCATGGTTGGCATCTCCTACCTCCAGACCCCCTGGGTGCCCAGCCTACCTTTCTGCCTAAGCCAGATAGGAGTGACAGTGTTTATATTCAGTAACCTTCAGCCTCCTTCCCAGAGTGATGTCAGGCCATCACCCAGAGAAGAAAGGAAGTGAAAGAAAAAGTTCATGCCTTCTTGGAGCGGAGATGCTCAGAGTGAAAGAAACAACAAGACTCGAGACAGATGGGAGCAGAGGAGCAAAACCCAATGAGCGAGTCTCTTCAGTAGGAGTACAGTCAGATTTTATTCTCCTTACTTCCCAGTGCAGCAAAATCTTTCTGGGTGAGAGGGAAAGACGGATCAAGCGCCCAGGACATTGACTGACCGTTTTCAGTTTTCACCTCCACCATCGGCTCCCTCCCTCAAAACGTTGAAGTTAACAAGTAAAAACAAAGTAAGGTCCTAAAAGAACACACAACGGAAAACGAGTAGTAATCTGA